AAAACGGAGACTGGCCGCGCCCCGCCTCCCGCGCCCCGCCTCCCGCGCCCCGCCTCCCGCGCCCCGCCTCCCGCGCCCCGCCTCCCGCGCCCCGCCTCCCGCGCCCCGCCTCCCGCGCCCCGCCCCGTGCTGGAGGAGCTGGCCTGGCCCCTCGGCCTCCCCGCGCCATGGCCGCGCCCGGCCCGGTCACGCGGCAGGTTATCGGCGGCACCGCCCCGGTCCCGGCCCCGAGCGGCCCCGAGCGCTGGCAGTCCCTGGCCGCCGCCGTGGCCGAGCTGCCGGTGCTGGACGCCCGCGGGCAGCGGGTGCCGTTCGGCGCGCTGTTCCGGGAGCGCCGCGCCGTGGTGGTGTTCGTGCGGGTGAGCGGGCGGCGGGGCGGGAGGGAGCGGGGGCCAGGCCAGGCTGCCGGGCCGCGGGCCGCGCGCCGCGCCTCCTGCTTCTTGGGACGGGAACCGAAAGGCAGCCCGCCCAGCCGCGGCCGCTTCCCAGCCAGCGCGGGGCAGGGCGAGGGCGAGGCCCGCTTCCCACGCGCCGGGCGCCCGGGCTGCCGGTCCCCGCCCCGCGGGCGTCGCCTCTGCTCGGGTCGCGCACGGCGAAGTACGGGACTCCTCCGGGGCCCGAGGGCGCTGCGTTTCTAACTTGCCCTTTCTGCCGACTTGGATTCTAGCATTTCCTGTGTTACATCTGCAAGGAATACGTGGAGGATCTGGCCAGAATCCCCAAGAGTTTCTTACAAGTGAGTTTCCGAGCGTGGGCGGCACAGCGCAGGCTTCTGGCGACATTGCGAGCCCGGCGGGGGCGGACGCGGCTCCAGAGCGGCGCGGGCAACCCGGATAGCCCCTCCTCGCACCTCTCTCCACCCTCGCCCCTCCAAAGGGAGAGACGTCAGAGATCTATTTCTGCCCTAACTCACTGGGTGCTGCCTGCTGGTGAACGTACTAACAATTGTGGTGTTGCCTGGTAACCTGGTGCCTGTTCTCAAATGTCGACTGATAATGCCCTAAATCAAATGCTGGAAATGGTTATTATTTCCCTTTATTTTTGTTCTACTCCAAAGAGCTGCTTGGTATGGGAAAATACTGATAAATCGTAAAGGTGCAAATTTTTATGTTATTAGACTGCAAGTTCCATGTCTCTAAGACAACCACAGACGTGTCTGTCTTCAGGGACAGATAGATTTATGCCCAAGTGGGCTTTTTGAGTGAAGGCATTGGTCAGCCTTTATAAAACACACGTTTTTTCAGCAGACTTTATCAATTAGGATGTGAAGAAAACATTGTTAATTAAATAACTATACTACAGAGTTACTTAAAAAACATATGTCTTTGGGAAGAATATAAGGAAGTATTGACTATATCATTTGGAAAGCAATGTTTTGACTCTTCCCCTGCATATCCTTTTTTTCTCTTTTTTAAAATTGACATATAATTGTATATGTTTATGACATACAGTGTGATATTTTGATATGCATTTACATTGTGGAATGATTAAATTGAGATAACTAATATATCCATCATGTCAGATAGTTATTTTGTGGTGAGAACACGTAAAAACTAGTCTTTTAGCAATTTTAAGTATACAATATATTATTAACTATAGTTGTCATGCTGCGCAGTAGATCTCTAAAAGTTCTTCCTCTTTAACTGAAATTCTGTACCCTTTGAACATCTCCCTATTTCTCATTCCTGAATAATGAGTCTTCTGGTAACCATCATCCTCCTTTCTTCGATTCCATATCTAAGTGAGACCGTGCCGTGTTTTCCTTCCTGTGTCTGGCTTATTTCACTTAGATGATGTCTTCTAGGTGCATCCAGTGTTGTCACAAATAACAGAAAAATGTCTTTTCTTTTTTATGACCAAATAATATTACATTGTATTATATTGTGCTACCCCATTTTCTTTGTATTTATCCGTTGTTGAACACTGAGGTTGCTTCTATATCTTGGCTTTTATGAATAATGCTGTAATAAAACATGGGAGTGGAGATACCTCTTCAACATACTGACTTAATTTCCTTTGGATAAATGCCCAGTAGTGGGATTGCTGGATCATATTTTGGTTCTGTTTTTAATTTTTATAGTAACTTCCCGACTGTTTTCCATAATGGCACAGTTTATATTCCTAACAACAGTGTACAAAAGTTCCTTTTTCTCCACATCCTCACCAACACTTATCTTGGATCTTTTTTTTCTTTTTTTCTTTTTGTTGAGACGGAGTTTCACTCTTGCTACCCAGGCTGGAGTACAATGGCGCGATCTCCGCCTCCTGGGTTCAGGCAATTCTCCTGCCTCAACCTCCTGAGTAGCTGGGATTACAGGCACGCGCCACCATGCCCAGCTAATGTTTTTTGTATTTTTAGTAGGGACGGGCTTTCACCATGTTGACCAGGATGGTCTCGATCTGTTGACCTCGTGATCCACCCGCCTCAGCCTCCCAAAGTGCCCGGCTTATCTTGGATCTTATTGATGGCCATTTAACAAGTGTGAAGTGATAACCTCATTGTAGTTTTAATTTGTATTTCCCTGATGACTACTGATTTTGAGCATCTTTTCATGTATCTCTTGGCCATTTGTTGTCTTTTGAGAACTATTTATTCATATCCTTTGTCCATTAAGACAGAGTCTCCCTCTACCCCTCAGGCTAGAGTGCAGTGGCACAATCTCGGCTCACTGCAACCTCAGCCTCCTGGGTTCAAGTGATTCTCCTGCCTCAGTCTCCCAAGTAGCTGGGATTACAGACATGTACCACCATGTCCAGCTTATTTGTGTATTTTCAGTAGGGATGGGGTTTCGCCATGCTGGTCAGGCTGGTCTCAAATGCCCGACCTCAGTTGATCCACCTGCCTCTGCCTCCCAAAGGGAAAGGATTACAGACATTAGCCACCATGCCTGGCCTTTTGTCCATTTTTTAATCAGGCTGTTGATTCTCGCTAAGTTGAGTTTCTTTTGTATTTTGGATATTTGCCCCTTATCAGATGTATAGTTTGCAGATATTTTCTCTCAATCTGTGAGTCGTCTCTTCTCTGTTCATTGTTTCTTTGTCTGTGCAGAAGCTTTTGTTTGATATAGTCCCATTTGTCTATTTCTGCTTTTGTTGCCTGTATTTTTGAGGTCATATTCCAGAAATCATTGTTTGAATCCACATCATGGCCGGG